CGTGACCGAAAAAAGATTTCTTCGTGCCCCTGGCACAAAAAGAACATTTTCCATGTGACATTCTATTTTCTTTCTGTCGACATAAGCCTGAAATTTTATACTTCCTTTTCCGAGAGCGTCCATTGTTGATTTGTCGCCGACATAAATTTTTAAGGGAACTGCAAACTGCTCATAAGACAAAAACCACTCACGATGACGAGTTATGTGATCTGTAGCTCCGGAATCAACAATCCAAACATCGCCATCTTCCGCGCTGAGAGCCTCAGCCTCGTCTTTCGATTTTTCTTCACTGTCTTCTTTTCCCTTTTTGCAATTTTTCCGGATATGCCCCACACGTCCGCACCGGTAGCATTTAATTTTATTAAAATTATTGCCACCATTATTGGCATATTTCTTTTTTATGTAGGCCTTACTAGAAAAAAGTGCGACTAACTCTTCCTGTTTTCCTGTTTTCTGCTGCCGACGTTTTTCTTCCGATGTCAACACTTCAACCAAATTCGCAAATGTTTGCTGTTGTTCAGATCTCGCCCACCAAGCTTGTTGAAGGCCCTCGTAGTCATCTGAGAGAGAATCGAGCATCTTTACTACGAGTGAAGACTCGTCCGGTTTCACATTCAGCTGCTGCATGCGCAGAACCAGCTCCTCATAACGAGCAATGTGAGTCACCATATTATCAGCAGGATTTTTACTAAAATTGAAAAATTCAGTTTGAACAGTATGCGCAGCTTGTTTGGTTCGTTGCTCAAAAATAGAATGCAATTTGAGCCAAATTTCCCGTGCCGTTTCACATGAAACCAACAACGCCATAACCTTTGATTCTAGAGATTTAATAATTATCTGACTTGCTGCACGATCTCCCCTGTCCCAAGCCTTGAATTTTGCATCGTATTCTGCCTGATTAAAGTCCTTATCTTCAATAGCTAATTGCACTGGCTTCAGTATTTCCCCAATGCAAACTTCATACGCGTCCACTTTTCCTCGTAATAAATTTCTTATAGCAAATTTCCAAATACTCCAATTTTCAATACCCCGTAGTTTTTCTATTCCTTGAATTTCCATTTTTCGTGTCGTCTCTTGTCAAAAAAAAAAATTGATTCCGATTTTATCGATCCACTGCGCTATCTATTCCACGCTAGCAACCAAGATTTCCTTTGAATGACGTACCAACGAATATTTAGAAAGAACCACGCTCTGCTACCATGTTGATGGTATTAAATTGAATAAGAACTGCTATTAAACATCAATATGAACAACGTTTTTTATTGTATCAGTTTCTAATGACAAACTCTAAAATTATTTATATAGCAACAAACTACTACCTTAGATCAAACATAAATGAATTATTTAGTTTAAAGATTTTAGTACAACAGAAACACCCTTTTTCCAACTTTTTGATAGATTTGTGCAGCAGAACTCAATGAAAGCTACAAAAGCTTTTCTGTGTAGGTATCAAGATACGTTACAATTCTCAGTAGAATTTGTGTTGTTCCTCTACCACGCAATTTTAAAAAAACAACCAAAATTATAAACAAAAACCTGCAGTTGTCAGCGAACAACTAATAATACAGTTATTCGCTGGTGATGACCGCATTGCTGTGAAAATGCGTTTTTTTTGTGTTTGCTTCAAATTGATGTGGACATTACATTATTCTAATTATTCTAACAATGAAATTGCAACTTTGATTTTTGTTCTCAAGTATTGTCTTCATTAAAAAGTGTTTTTCCTTATTAACATGGTTATTGTAAAATAGGCCCTAGGGGATCGTTGTGTCAGTTTCTAGATTATTTTTACAATCCACGATTTAGTAAAAATACACGAGGAATTATTATTGGGCAACTTCCGAGCTAAAAAAAAGCTCAATCATGTACTGATTATAAGGTGCAGTAGGGAATGATTTAAAAATTCTTACACCAATAGGAACACAGCTTACACAAAACTACTAAATTTCAATTGTAATATTGGATCGCTATTGGAATATTTAAAAAATTCATGATCTCAAAGTATATTTTACAAAGCGATTAGTAATTTTTCATATACAGGCGTAGAGTGCTCAGTAAGTACTGCAGTACAGTACCAAAATATTGAGATTTTTGTTAATTTTTAGACACTCGTTTTCTTTATTTATACAGGATGAGTTATTTTGGTTCATAACTTGCTTGAGTTAGGTGGCTATTACTATCACCGTTTTTTGAATGTCTAAATTTGTTTAAAGAATAAAATTTTTGTTCCGAGATAACGGCTCGACGGTTTTGTTCAAATTTTGGATCTGTATATTAAGCATGCGGAAACGAAAAACAATGGACTGGATTTTGAAAAAATAATTTGGAGCTACGTAAAGGCCACGAACTCTATTTTTCTAATTGCAACGCAAAATGTCTATTAAACTATTCGAAAGACTTTCTTGTTCTGCGTACAACCTACAAACTTTATGGTTTTCTAACAAATTTTCTTTCGAAAAAATGGTTATTTTGATTTCGTTAAAATTTTGGCAGGGTTCATTAGACGTAAAGGATGTAAAACTGTCAAAAAGGTTTTTTTAAAAACATCTGTTTTGAGCTAGGAAGCTGTTCTGCCAAGAATTGGCACCTGATTTTCATTTTCACTGTGAAGATGTCGTAAACCGTAAGAAAAACAAAGTTGTTTAAGTAGGCAAAGTTATGCAAAATTTTATACTAGTTAATTGTCCGTGTCAAAATTCCTTGTACCTCTCCAAATTGCGAAGCTCTGACCAAAAAACCGGAAAATGTGATTTTCGACCTGGCTTTCATTTATTTTCAGATATCAAAAAATAATCTTAACAAACCCTTGGTGATTGTTTCTTATCTTTTCTCATCAACTTTGTTATTTCTTATGGTTGCCATATTGGATTTTTACGTCACTAGATACAGAAAACCAGTTGCCAAAATCTTGACAAATCAGCATCCTAGCTCAAAGCAAATATTTAACAAAAAAGAAACGATTTTGACAGTCTTACATCCTTTATGCCTAATATACACTGCCAAAAATCATATTAATTTTGCTGTATGTTTTATTACTAAACACTAAATTGTTTCCCACAAGAAAATTTTTGTTAACCTCTTACAGAATTCAATGTAATTTGGATGTTATATCTTAAGCGATTATTAATTATTGTCAATTTTTTATTGGTACTTAATTGAAAATTGCTTTGTTTTGGATCCCTTCTATTGTTTTTGCAATGTGTCCCATTTTCCGTCGTTTATCTGTCTGTCTGTTTGTCTGTTCTATCAAGATCTCATCTCTGGGCCACCTAAAAACTTCGAGTTTTCGTTAATTGACAGATGCTATGGTGGCAACACCCACGAGTGGGTTTTGATAAATTTGTTTAAGTTTTGTTCATCTTTGTCTATTGACTTATTCATTTTTTTAATTTTAATATCATTAACAATTGTAATTTCTAATTAGAATTAATTTAGTTTTGCCAAGTTTTTTAACTTAACATTTTTTTTCTTAGTTTATTTGTTATAAAACCTGCCACAATTTTTGTAGGTTACCCACTTAACGAGTAAAGTGTCCCATTCTCAAGTTACTTATTAATTAACTTTATTTCTTGCAGTATTGTCTTTTTTTTCTGTTCTTCCTTTGTCACCCGTCCATCGAAATTGTAAACATTTAAATTTGAAGTTATGTTATGGGTTAAGTGGAAGAACACCTGGTGGCGATGTTGCTCCTAGCTGAACTTCGCCCTTTAGATTTACATCTAATAAAAACGTTATTATTATTATGAAAAAAAAAAGATCTTTCCAATACCTTAATAATTTTTGGTTGATTTTTGAAAAAAAAAGTTCAATGCCGTTACGCGTGACAAATTTTTTTTCCAAAAATCCGGCCCGTTATTTTTCGTTTCCGCATGCCCAATATGTTTATAATATCCCAAATTTGAACCGAATTCGTCGAGCCGTTACCTCGGACAATTGCCAACGTACTTACACACGTACATACAGACAGAAAAAATTTTTAATGAAAAACGTCGGCATTTCATGAAATTTTGATCCAAAAAACGGTGATCGCAATATCTACGTAGCTCATGCTAGGAAGCTAAATCTACAAAATCGGGGATACCAATTACTCGTACTTAGATAGCAATAATTCCATGGCTTGCTTAAAATTATTTAACATTTTTCGTTGATGGTCTGGCACAGTGACTTATGACCATAAGAAATACATTTCAATGCAAACCTTCAAGATTAATTTCCAAATGAAAGTATCTGGTATTTCTAATTTTGTAATTTTTTTCTCTATCTAAGTAGTGTAAAAATCCAATATGGTGTCCATAAGGAAGAATAAAGTTGATGTGATTGACTCGAAACCAACAAGTCACAAAAATTTGATTTTAGCATCGTCAGATATTTTTTGATACGCAGCACATTCTCGGAAATTCCATTTTTCGATTTTTTTGGCCATAACCATGCTATTTGTAAAGCTACAAGAGACAAGTAAAAGGGAAAATTAATTAGCATAATTGCATAACTTTGCCAATTTAAGCGAATTTGTTTTTCTTACGATTTACCATAGTCAAAATGAAAAAAAACTCACCTTGTACAATAATATCTTTTTTATTTCTGTAAGATATACATTTTTGGGTCACATTGTCACTCAGCCTCCTGGTAAATCCGCCACTGATTAACTGACTTCAAGCCGTTGAAATTTGGAAACAGGCGCGCCCTTTGAATTGGCTGGAGAATTTTCTTCTTTGAAGTTGACTGGTAACGGAAGGTAGTCTTGCAAATTCGACAGAATGCGCAACGTTGCAGTTTGCAAAAATAATTGACTGTACGTTCCCAAAATTACTCTGAATTAAAATGGAAGCCAGAGCAACATAAAAACCACCCTGAATACTTACATCCTAATGTTTAACTCGAAAAAAATTCAACCTACCTATGTTAAAAATGGAAGCAATGAATGTTAGTCCTTAGGAAGGATTGTACGTATTTTGTAAGATCCACTGTTTACTGTAATTATGACAAGTGTCTTGTTTTAGGTGACTACAGAGACTTGAAGCTACCACCGTTGGCCTTCGAAAAAGTATCGGATTTATTAAGGAGAAGTCCTGAATTTACAATATCAGCATGGGTGCGACAAGAAACGGGTAATACGGGTAGTTTAGTGAGTTTTGCACACGGACTTAATCGTTATTTAGAACTTCAATCTAGTGGACGTAAAAATGAAATTCGGTTACATTATACTTCGCGTGTAGACTCTAAAGTGTACGTAGAAACTTTTCATTATCGCCTCGCGGACAATTTGTGGCATCACGTAGCGATCTCTGTGAGCGGTTCGCAGGTGGAGCTACTTGTCGACTGCCATCCCCTGTACAAAAGACTGTTAAGGCCTGGTGCCCCGGATAGAAATTTTTCGTTACCGCAACAACTTTGGCTGGGCCAGAGGAACAAGCACTACCACTTCAAGGTAAGGATTTCTTTCTTATAGATAGAGCATTGGTCAAAATTTCTCCAATTTGTTGTACTATGGTACAGGGTTTACCGACCTCGGTATCAAGTTCTGTGGGAGGGGGATAAAATTTCTAGAGTAGTTTATAAAACACTCTGCTTATAAAGCTCTACAAACCACCCATGAAAAGTCTATGAAAAGCCCTTAACGAGTTCAGTGAATTGAACTAAAACGCTTTGGAACTGCGTCATAAATGATTGGGAAACTCTTAGAGCCTTCGATTGTAGTGGAAACCGTTTAGAAGGGGTTCCGAAGCGTTTTAACAATCCGAATTTGAATAATTTAAATCTGACTATAATCTAATACAAAATTTGATATGCCCAAAAGTAGCCAGCTCAAATAGATCTAAAAGCAACTCCATTCCTTTCCCATTTGTGAAAAAATAACATTCAGAAGTTTCTTACATAAAGTAAATGAAATGCGTTGTTAATTAGCCAATCCAGAAGGTTTCAGGAGGTCCTGGATACGGTAACCTTAGACTAAAGTTGTATTTCAAGATGAATGCCGTTAAATAATTTTAATACTCCAGCACGGACGAAACAGACAAGACATTAAAAAGGGTAGATTCATACACAAATAATTGAAGTCAAACTAAACGAGTTGAAACATCGAATGAACTGGCCAATATTAAACAAATCAAAATAAGGGTAACATTTAAAGTGAAACAATTAAACAACAAACAAATTCAACGGATAATAATAAATTAAAATACGAAGAGTTACACAATTAAAATTAAGTACATTATTACATTTTGTTATGGCACAATTACAAAAAGCATGGACCTGTGAACCAATGAATTACAAAATGCAAAATCAGCAAAGCTAAATCAAGCCACTATTTTCTACGTATAGAGATTAAGAGTTAAATCGTAGATGGCCAATGAATACTCGTAAGTCCAAAACGGCTGATTACGCACGTTTGGTCAAAAGAGAGAATATTTCGCGACTGGTGTGGCGCGTTGCGCCGTCCTGCTGAAACCACAAGCCAGTCAAGTCCTCTTCTTCAATTTTGGGGAACAACTAGTCCCTTAACATGCGTCTACACTCTACAGCGCTAACCATTGACGTTGACGGCCAATTCAGCATTATTTTCGATGATGCCGCCAGACCGCACTAAACAGCCATACGTTGCGGGCCTCTTGGCTGCGGAAAAATCGTCTGCGGGTTTTCGGAGGAGATCAATTATGCCAAAGTTATCACACATTGAGCAAGAAAGCAATCCAAGAAACTTTGAGCTTATAAGAAACATTAAAGCATTCCTTTAGAACGCGTAACGGCCCTGTAAATGCATACCATAAAATGATAATTTCACTTCATTTCATTCTCGACACAAAGGAATTTGTCCACTACTGTTTAGGCATGCAAATGGAATTGTTCTTGTACCTTTAGATATGCATCTCTGCCATTCCTATTTGTCGGAATTTAACGATCACATTTTTGCAAGCAATTGCTGCCTTTTCCTTTTGTAATTGATGCCGCGTGTTTTAATATTCTCTCTAATCGGGGCTAAAATCTGAGAAAAGCTTTACTTAATATTTCATTCGGAAATTAATCTTGAATTTTTGCATTGAACTTTAGCAATAATTCGTAGAATAATTCCATGGCTTGCTTAAAATTATTTAACATTTTTCCTTTATTGTCTGACACAGTCTCCATCAACACGGCCATAGAATTATGACCGAGATTATGACCATAAGAAATACATTGTAAACGTCAATCCAAACCTTCAAGCTTAATTTCCGTATGAAAAACCTTAAGTATTTGGTATTTCCGATTTAATAATTTTTTTCCCTATCTAAGTAGTGTAAAAATCCAATATGGTGTCCATAACGAATAAGAAAGTTGATATGATTGACTCGAAACCAATAAGTGATAAAAATTTGATTTTAGCATCGTCAGAAAGCTCAGAAAAATCACTAACAGTTTGTTAAAATTATTTTTTGTTATCGTTGAACATAAATGAACGCTAGCTCGTTCTCGGAATTTACATTTTTCGGTTTTTTTGCCATAACTACAACATATAGAATGTGGCCTGTAGATTCCATAATTTCAAACAGTTCCAAGATTGGGCTACTAGTTCAAAAGTTACAGCCCTTTGAATTTTCTTTCGAAATTGGTTTCTAGTATAACTTTTGATTGAGAAGTCTGATCGAAAAAGTACGAATTGTTTTGGATTCTACGCACCAAAATTAATAAGAAAAAGTGTTTTCCCGAGAAATTTTGGTGCAGTCGATTTTTGGTAAAAAAGGAAGGTTATACACTGCCTTTTTTTGAGCCCCGAAAAAAAAATTGTCTCAGATCGACCCGGAAAAAAAAATTTCTTATAGAATGTGGCCTGTAGAATCCATAATTTCAAACAGTTCCAAGATTGGGCTACTAGTTCAAAAGTTACAGCCCTTTGAATTTTCTTTCGAAATTGGTTTCTAGTCTATAACTTTTGATTGAGAAGTCTGATCGAAAAAGTACGAATTGTTTTGGATTCTACGCACCAAAATTAATAAGAAAAAGTGTTTTCCCGAGAAATTTTGGTGTAGTCGATTTTTGGTAAAAAAGGAAGGTTATACACTGCCTTTTTTTGAGGCCCGAAAAAAAAATTGTCTCAGATCGCCCGGAAAAAAAATTTCCTTATAGAATGTGGCCTGTAGAATCCATAATTTCAAACAGTTCCAAGATTGGGCTACTAGTTCAAAAGTTACAGCCCTTTGATTTTTCTTTCGAAATTGGTTTCTAGTCTATAACTTTTGATTGAGAAGTCTGATCGAAAAAGTACGAATTGTTTTGGATTCTACACACCAAAATTAATAAGAAAAATTGTTTTTCTCGAGTAATTTTGGTGTAGTCGATTTTTAGTTCTGCTTCTGCTTGTCTTCTCTTTTGCACTAATGTTGTCGCCCACTAGCTCCTTCCTATCTAGCATTGAGACATCCATCGAAGCTAAAAACTAAAACTAAAACTAAAAATCCATACAGAAGAACAATTTTTTTCGCCCAAATTTTGTTTTTATATATTTTAAAACAAACGTTTTTTCGATGCACTACTTCCCATCTTGGCGTGTCCTGGTTTTAAATTCAAAAATCCTGGTATTTCTACCTTCAAATCCTAGATTTCAAAATTTGACGACGGCAACGCTAACGTATAGGTGCACGGGGTTACGGATAGATTAAACATTCCCATAATGAGTGTGTTTGTTACACGCAATAAGTACAAGTATGCAAAAATATCTAAAGAGGAAAGTTTCTCCTAAAAAATTACTTCTTCTGCTCAATCGTGCTCTACGCCCTTGAAAACATAGGAATAGACACCTGGATCGCGTACCTATGGCCATAAGCAGAAGAACTAGTAAATTTGGCGATATTTTGGACGCCATCTCGAATAACTCACTTCCGGTTGGAATTTCGATTTGGCAAATGGCATTTTCGGATTCAGCCGAATTAGGGGGGTAACGGCTTTAACTTAATTGTTACACGAAATGCTTTTTGCATTTGGATTTTCGCAAAACAAGACCCGACTACTAGATAGGTACTTGTGTAAGTAAAATCACCATTGTAGCTTGATTTTGTCTATCGAGCCAATTTTCGAAAGAGGCACTCTCTGTCGGGTCTCATAGATACGCGTCTCTGCTGTAGGTAGTTCATTTGTTTTTACTTTTTACATTAAAACGGATGAACCGATTGAAATATCCGCATTTCTTTGGCAGGGAGCCATGCAGGACGTGAGACTGATAGCGGGTCCCCACGGATACCTGACGCTGTGTCCGAGCTTGGATTCGACGTGTCCGACGTGTGGGCAGTTTTCGCTATTGCAGAGCACCGTGCAGGAGCTGACGCGGCATCTTCAGGAGCTTTCCGAAAGGGTATATGGACTACCATGTAACGTCTCTTATGCGTCTGTACATTGTTTTGATTATATATAATTGTGTGGTTTGCAGTTAGTAGCAGCTGAAGGCCGCATCAGTAAGGTCGAAGAATGCGACTGCCAGAAGTCATGCCAATTCAATGGCTCGGTTCACGCGGACGGCGCCACGTGGCAACGCGGCTGTGACTTGTGCGCTTGCGTGGTTAGTAGACCATTTCGAAACTAAGTCAAAATTTTCGCGAAACGCTATGACTTCCGGTTGCGTTACTTATTGCTTATTGAGTCGGCCTTCATTGTACCAATTTTCATGTTTCTTCAACAGCATGGCGAGGTGCAGTGCCGACCGGTCGAGTGTCCCGTGCCGTCGTGCAAGAATCCCGTCAACATTACCGGCGAGTGCTGCCAAAGTTGTCTTAGTAAGTCATTTTGTACACACTGCGGGGAGGGGGTATTGCACGCGCTTTTTTCGAAATTAACATTATGTGATATTTCTCTATGTATGTGTACTAATTTACCTTACTGTTAACAGGGGATTGCCTTATGCAAGGAGTATTTTATGATCACGGAGATCTAGTCAATTTGCATCAGTGTGTAGAGTGTGAATGTCGTGACGGAAGTATGAATTGTACTAGGATAATCCCTGAAACTATGTGTCCTAAGTTAACGTGTCCTCCGGAAGAACAATTTAGTATACCTGGTGAATGTTGCAAGTTTTGTCCAGGTACGAAGAACATTTATACGTAATTATCCATTGTTTTTTTTAACTCGCTTAATCGATATCGTTGTTTTGCCAATAATTGACACTCATCCGCATCCTACTAACTACTAACAAATGCTTGTGTATTCGATTAACAGGTATTGACTACTGCGCTAAAGGTCACATTTGTCATGTTAACGCATCATGCCTGAACCTTCAAACCAAATACACTTGCCATTGTGATCAAGGTTTTCGTGGAGATGGACATGTGTGTTCTGGTACGCAACTACTTACTTTAATTCTAATTGACACTTTAGCCTTGAAATTAACGCTAATTCAGTTGAAATGCCGTGACCTTAAGAAATTCGGTCTTCCCAACAATATAGCGTGGACCAGTAGAGTTACTCTAAGCTCACGACATTTTGCACATAATTGCACGCGCCCCTTTAACTGATCGTTTCGATTTTAATACAGATATCGACGAGTGCCAACAGGAGGGTGGCCTGGAGGGTCACCACTGCCACCAAAACACGCGGTGCGTCAACACCGTCGGTTCCTACGTGTGCGAATGCCTACCGGGCTACAGGAGGATAGACAAGTTTAACTGCGCCGAAATAGACGAGTGCAGTACCGGCGAGCACGGTTGCGACGTGCACGCCCAATGCGTGAACACGCTCGGCAGTTACCACTGCGTGTGTCAGGTCGGCTACGGCGGCAACGGGTACACGTGCGAGCGTGAGTATCGGAGAGCGCGTGGACGCTTGCATTCGTAACGAGTTGATTCTTGCAGCTATCTGTAATCAGAGTTGTTTAAATGGTGGCGTCTGTAAGAGTCCGGGAAAGTGCGCGTGTCCAAATGGATATACTGGGGCGAGCTGCGAGCGAGACCTGGACGAGTGCGCCACGAATTCGCATCGATGTACAGACGCCTCAGTTTGTGTTAATATGATTGGTTGGTACTACTGCGAGTGCAGGGCTGGATATCACAGTCCGGTGATTGACAACAATTTGGGAACTTTGTGCCAAGGTAAGCCGACATTTTTTATGGAAATGGGGCTTTATGATGAAAGTAAGTGCTTCATAGAATCAATTTTACTGGGATTATAAATGACTATATCACTACACACAGAAAGAAAGTAAACGCAAATGTTGTTATTTGGAATACAGGGTTTGCATTAATAACAGATCTCGAGGCGCCTGAATCCAATAGTCCGAGGAGGCATATCGAAAACGTGGACTTCAATATAAGGTCTTAAATCTTGGCCCACACTTTGCAGTAAAAATGTCTGGGTCGGTTTCCCGAACAAAACCTATATAAACCTACAGTAACGCTCGTAGCGCCACATTTGTAGCAAAAGTTTTGGAACTTCAGTTCGATGGTGGCCTAAGCGTTTCAGTTCCAACACGCGATTCTATTATTACTAAATCCCGATTCAAGTAAAGGTTAATCTGATTGACCGCATCAAGGATCATTTAATTGAATAAGAAAACGTTTTCGAAATAGCGACCAATTTTGGTTATTCAAGCAGGAATCAATTAATGCGATCCATAATTTGTACAATACATCTTAACGAGTCGATTCCTTCCCATCAGATCAGCATAGCTTGTTAAACAAATTTTTTGAATCAGCATTAGTTTTCCTTTTCTATTCTTATATCCTTACGAGCATGTGTATCAATTTTCAAAGCGATCGGACGTTCCTGTACAAAGTTATCGTGCACACGGAGAGACAGATGGACAGACGGGCGGGCAGATTTGAAACCATTCGACAAGGTGGCATAGTAAGCAGGGCCGTAACTAGATATGACCGCGCCCTTGGCGGTACTTCAAATTTGCGCCCCCCCCCCCACCACACCTGCGCGTGGTGGTATTAAATACTCCCCAACAAAAACGCAAGGACCGGGAGGTTCTTCTCCGAAAAGGTCCAAGGTTTGAAGCTTTTGATCCGAGAATTTCGCTTCTTTAAAACATGGAGAAAAGATTACAGAATACAGTGTGTCCAAGATAAGAATGAACATCATGGACACATCGGAAATCATAAGAAGTACACAGTCGGTTAAATTAGAAAGAGTTGCGCATTTTAGGGCTTAATAAAACGATGTTTTAAAAATGCGGAAATTCCGATCAGTTCCGAAGATATTTAAAAAAAACCGAAAGCAACTTTTTAAGCTCACCATTTTACAAGGTTTTCGCTGTGACGTTTCGTCTTTGAGAAACCATCATCAACTATTTTTATATGGACCGGAAAAAAGTGCATAACGTATTGAGTAGCATTTTTTGTTACGAATACAAATTATGTATGGTACAATATATCATTGAGAAGAACAAATTATTTTGACATTTTGTCAACGCCTACTAAATCAAAATGTTAAAAATTTAGTAACAAGCCATTTTTCTGAACTAAATAATAAATAATTTTTAACATTTTACTGTAGTGGGCGCTGACAAAATATCAAAATAATTCATTGATGGTTCCTATAAATGAAATAGGTGATAAGATAAAGAATCTTATTGTGCCATACATCGTTGTTGATGGTTTCTTAAAGACGCCAATTGTACAGCTTAAAAAGTTCGTATGAGGAAGTGTTATTCGTTTTTTGATATCTTTTCAAACAGGGCCGGCAAAAAATAAAACCGAATATGATTAATTTCGTTTTTTTCGGAATTGATCGGATTTTACAAATTTTTAAAATATCATTTGACTTGCTTCCTTTTCCTTCTTATATTGGACACACTGTATATATTACATTACCATAAGGAGGCAAAAGGAGGGAAGGGCAGAGATGAAGGTAATATCACTTTGTAACGACCCAGCTATTCACAGTCACAGTACGTACAGTATTAACAATCTGGAATAGCATTTGTTTAAATAACCTGAATTTTTTTCCTAATACACTAATGTAAAAGGAAATTTTTTGATGGCCAATTTTACGCCTCCCCGGTATCTGCGCCCTTGGCGGGCGCCCATCTCGCCACCGCCTAGATACGGCCCTGATAGTAAGGCAGTCCTGCTGTTAATAAAATGCTCATTGAAGAAGAAAGAACTTAAAAAATATCATCACGATGGTTACAGACGCACCAAGACCAACGAGTTGATAAGAAATATGAGTTTTTTTAGGAATGTTGTTGGTAACCTATCCAGTTATAACGTGGATTAAGTTGGCGCTACTTTTCTTACATCCGCCGCATAAACAGTCAATTAGCTCAGGGATAGAATAAGAGAAAAGCTTGAAAAACTTCACAGAGGTAGTTTATTCTGGGCAGATAATCTTCGTTTATTTTTAGCAACTTACGAATGAGTTGAGCGCCACCTAGTTTTTTACAATATGAACTCTTCCTTTATATATAAAAGTCTTAAATCTTTAAACCTTTTTTAATTTAAATTTAAATGTGTAATATATTAAATAAATTATGTTTGTCTAAAAAAACCAATAATAAAATCCAATAGGAAACGATTGGTATCTATTGTTCTTCAATGACAATCAAGATCAAATTGGCAATTGAAATCTAAGCTTCTCATCCTCCCACATAAAATATTATTCCCCAATATAAACCCCCAATGATGGAGCTACCATGATGTAGATTGATTAATAAAATGTAAACGTAAATGTTGTTATTTAGAAAGCAGGCTTTCATTAATGACAGATCTCGACGTGCCCGAATCCAATACTCCGAAGAGTGCCGTATAAAAAATGTGAACTTCAAAATAAGGTCTCAAATCTTGGCCCGCATGTTGTAGCAAAAAATCTAATTTTGGTTTAGTCTAGGCATGGTGAAGCGACATCGTCTCAGTAAATAGACCATCAAAGAGCTGCCTCTGGGTCCGTTTCCCGAACAAAATCTATACGAACGTACAGTAACGCCCGTAGCGCCACACTTATAGCAAAAAAATCTGCCGCGGTTCGAAGGTGCCCTAAACGTTGACAGTTTCAACACCTGATTATTTATTCTCGACAACAAGAATGGTAGGACGCTCCGGTATCCGTCGTGCCATAACCGAATTACTATATCCAGCTCCCTCTGGGTCCGTTTCCCGAACAAAATCTACACGAACGTACCGTAACGCCCGTAGCGCCACACTTGTAGCAAAAAAAATCTGCGGCGGTTTTGGACATTGAGTTCGATGGTGCCCTAAACGTTGACAGTTTCAACACCTGATTACTTATTCTCGACATCCGTCGTGCCATAACCGAATTACTATATCCCGGTTCAAGTATAGGTAAATGGGATCGACTACATTCCATCAATAAATCGTCGATAGTACACTTGGTAACTTCGATAAATAAAACGGAGTGACATTCCGGCGAGTTATGCGAACTTGTGGATTTGAAAGTCTGGAGAAAAACCCCTGCATAATGTCAACGTTGAATTTTTGAGCGGTGTAGAACGACAATTTTAGTGCAACATTCGTAATTTTCTTCTTCAAGATAATTCAAAAGGTCCAAACAAAAATTATCGTGACGTATCGACAACAAATCCTCAACGATATTGAAAGTTGAGAGTTGAGTCCCACAGTGTGCTGGTGTTCGAAACTCAGAAGAGGTTTTTCCACAAGGGCAGAAATTGACTTGACGGGTAGATCAGAAGTAAAATGCCAGCAATTATCTGAAATATTAGGTACAATCAGTGGCGGTCCCAGGATTTGGTAAAGGGAGGGGCCCAAACCCGAACGTTGTCCCACACGGAAAAAAATAAAAGAAATCTCACATAATGGAAATGAGATCGACGGAAAATTGATGAAAAAAATTGACAATGGGGGGGCCGGACCCCCACGGGCCCTCCATCTGGGCCGATTCTGGGTACAATACCCGTACGATCCCAGAAATCGATGCCTAATATGAAATCTGTACTTAATCTAGGTACTACCAATAAATTAAAAATTACAGTTGCTACCGTCGGTAATAAAACATGACGTAAATGTAAATGTTGTTATTTGGAAAACAGGTTTTGCATTAATAACAGATCTCGAGGCGCCTGAATCCAATAGTTCGACAAGAGGCATATCAAAAAAGTGGACTTGTGTCTCAAATCTTGGCCCACAAGTTGCAGTAAAAATCTCTGGATCGGTTTCCCGAACAAAATCCACACGAATGTACGGTAACGTCCGGAGCGCCACACTTGTAGCAAAAAAGCTTCCGCGGTTTTGGACATTCAATTCGATGGTGGCCTAAGCGTTGACAGTTCCAACACGCGATTGTTTATTCTATTATTACTAATAAATCCCGATTCAAGAAAAGGTAAATGCGATTTAACGCTTCGTCGCCGGCACTATTTAACCTTTACATAGAGGAAGCCATAAATAGAGTAAAGCAGGATGTTAACTTAGGGGTCATAGTGCAGGGCGAAACAATACATATGCTGAGATACGCGGAGCAGAAAGGGAAAAGGATCTAGAAACAGGATTAAACGGTATGGAGAGAATACTATCTAGAGACTACAGTATGAAAATCAACAAGGAAAAAAACAAAAGGAATGAAATGCTTGAAAAGAGAGGATAGGAAAAAGTTAAAGATCCGAATAGAAAACAACACTTTAAAGCATGTAAAGGAATTTTGCTATTTAGGTAGACACAAGATAATTTTAGCAAGGGTTAGCGCAAGCTAAAAAAGCATTTGAGCAAAAGTGGGACCTGCTAACTAGATCCGGGATAAATATAGGAATTAGGAAAAGGCTGCTAAAAACGTACATACAGAGTGTAGCTCTATACGTACCCGAAACCTGGACGATAAATAGTTAGGGACGTATGAAATGAAATGAAATAGACAAGGATAGTTATACTGCAATCCGATTGGCGCACATGACTAGATCGGAGACTGTGAACGCGACGTCGCGGGTTCGAATCCCTGGAGCGCGCGTGGTTTTTTTGTACATAAAATAATGGTAAAAAGATAAACGAAAGTAATTTAAAAACTAATGCATAAAAAAGGTTCATTAATAATAAAACTCGTTAAATTTTCACATTTTTAAACCTCTTCGACCACGCGCCATCCGCGAAATTGCTTCCAAATGTTCGGGTATGGTATTGGCATACATCTTATATCCAAATATCAACAATAATAAAACTGTTAAGGAAAATGTGCCACTAGCTCTCAGACTACTATACCAAGTCGCTTGCTTTCATCAAAAACCACGAGACATTATTAATTTAACTTTTTCTAGATGTGGACGAGTGCGAGCAACAAATTCACACGTGTCATCCGTCGGCGCAGTGTATCAACTCGGACGGGGGGTTTTGGTGTTCCTGTCCCGAGAGTAGGGGTCCCAATTGTAAGCTTAGCTGTATTTTTGAGGGGGCCGAGGTCGAGCACGGGAAGACCGTGTCGCCGGTCGGTCAACCGTGCCGGCGCTGTGAGTGTAATTATGGCGTTATAACGTGTAGGGAGCCGACTTGCAACTGTTCGCTTCCCGGTAGCGGTCAGAATTCGTGCTGTCCACAGTGCGATCGGCAATTGGCGTGCAAACATCAGGAGCTGTCGGATGTGATACTGATGCACGGCGAGCGTTGGTCGTATCAATGCCAAACTTGCGAATGTCTGTACGGTGAAGTGGACTGTTGGGACATGAAGTGTCCCCCATTGCTCTGTGATAATCCAATACAAGCTCCAGGAGACTGTTGTCCTCATTGTGATGATTTATGCTCATTTGGAAATATGTCATTGTCTGGAAAACCTTGTACGTTTGCCGGAAGATTATACGAATCAGGTGCTCAATTTGCCGATCCTAATGATCCTTGCGTCGCCTGCAACTGTAAGGTGAGTTGCCATTCGCAACATTCCTGTTTTATCGGCGACCAGGTGCCCATACATGTTAACGTGCCTGCAAGTGTGCATTGCGCGCGCTAGAGCCTTCGGTGTTGTTGTTTTTCTTTTGTTTACTAAACCGATTAACCTTACATATTAGTTGGGTGGCCATAGTTAATAAATTGCAAGTCTAATGGCGTTTAATGAGCCATTTTTGGAAACGTGCGTTTATAAGGGTAAAAATGTCTGCTGAACCCGAATTCGAATGTTGCCAAGCTGATTTTTGGCTAATTTCAAAATGGCGGCTAATATGGCGGCCAAATACATAAATTTTTATGCCAGACGCATTTTACATAGTTTTTCGGATTGAGGTGTTAAAAAAACATACAGGAAGCACAAAAAATTGCAAAACTTATATATTGGGTACATTATACAGACAACACGGTAACAATATAGAGATAATTCTGACGGCAAATGTATTACCTATATTTCGTTCAAAAATTTTAACGGAACTTAAATTTCTTCATCATTCTGCTCATTTTTTTACGATTGAAGCAGTCGCCAAGACACTTGTAGATATTTGTGCACTTTTAGTTCATAGCATAATTTATTTAAAGCCAAGTTTTTAGGAGGACTAGTCTGACCATTCGATTTTTCAGTGTCCCTTATCGCATTTGCGAGACAATATGTATGGTACAAGATGCCCCCGGCAACAGCATCATGAGAAGATGCAACTCTACGCCCTTCTGTACCCACTGCACCCAATGTAAATTTCCATAAGAGGGTCGGCCTAAAAAACTCAAGTTGTTTTTGAAAAATAAAATTTCATATTAATAATATATAAATTTTATATTTTATAAATTTAGACCTTTATCTACAAAATGTTCGGACTATTTTTTTAAAAAAGTTTATAGCAACTGAATACCGGCTGTTTAAAGATTAGATATTTTGCACCGTTTATTGCGCTAACCTGTTTTATTGTTTTACTCTCGATCAAGACGATTTATGGAAAAAGTAAACCGACAGTTTTCTAGATAAGTTACTTCTGAACATTACCCCAAAAAATGAAATCATATTTTTTGTAAATAAAGTCTGTATCTTGGTGGGCGGTAAATAAACAATTTGAGTGTAGCAAGTGGCGCCGCTGCACTGTGTCGGGGGGAACCGAGGGGTAAACCACCTAGTTAATTCAGTGTACAAATAGTAGTTAATGAATTAAAATTAACTTTTAATGTAGTTAATATGTTCTGTAAATGCCGTTAATTTCAAGTTAATTCAGTTAATGTAATTTAATGTGGTTAACGCTAAGTTAATGTAATTAATTTACATTTAATGCAATTTAAAACTACTCGAGATACTACTATAGGTAGTGGCTATAGCATGTGAAAAACCAAATTTTGAACCCGGTGTTAGTTTGCTTTTATTCCAAGTGCCTATGTATCAAATTTTATTTAAATACTTTCATAAATAAAAAAGTTTGCAATTCAAAAAGGGCACTGTGAATGTAGAATTGATTAGGCCCAACTTTTGGCATTGCGTATTATATGGCTAAAACTATGCCCTCGACTATGCCCATATTGAATTTCATGCAATTCGGTTTATAACTAACGGAGATGTCAAAAGGGCCTTCTTTATTTTTTTACGTACATTGCCAATTCGCGAACTTTCATCTTAATCGGCGGCGGTCTATTCGTTTTCGAGGTATCGTGCTAATGAACAGATCTCGGGACAGATGGACAGGCACCGCAAAATTATAAACTCTCTACGTCCTAGGAGAGCATCAATAATTTGAAAATGTTGGGTATTTAAAATATTTTTGCTATAGTGTATTATAAAGAATTTAATAACCTGTCATATTATGTAATAATACACAGGGTGTTCCATATCAAAGTCACATTTTTGTTATCATCTGAAAAATGCGATGTGGTTTTGTTTTTTTAAATGCAGATTTGAATTCATTGGAAAAAATACGCAATTTTTATTTATATATATATTTATATATGTAATTGGAAAAAACCTTAAATACTTACCAACGGTTATTAAAAAGCACAAAATTTAATAACAAACAAAATTTGCCGAGGAAAATGTAAAACACTAATTTAATGAATTCACAGCTTTTTTGGGACACCCTATATATCACCACAGGATATATTTTCCTACATTTTCCGAACTAGCTATGAAGTTAATTAACCAACTCTTACGTATATATAAGTAATAAATTATGGAAAGCAATTTAATATTAAATAGTACACAATACAATAGATAGTGGCGCCATCGTGCTGTATTTGTGAACTAGTGCAAAATTCGGCCTGGCAACATCCAGAATCGGATTCAGCACATTTTTTTACATCTAAAAAACCATGTGGCCAAAATGGCTCATAAAATGCCGTTAGAATTAAGAAACAGAGTCGTTTTTCGATTTGGCCACTTAACTATATCATCACATCCTGCTAGATCGTGCGTTGTGAAATCGATAGTGTAGCATAGTGGTAAGAGGATCGATTTCATGCCACGTAAACATACTATGGCATGGCTGGCCGCTGCGTAGTGCTAGGCGTGCTACGCTAGGCAGTACTAACAATTAACACTCGGTTCCCTTCCAGGTGCCGTTCTGCGCCCAACTGGTGAGCAATGTCGCGTGTTGTGTGCATCGGTAATCACATCACTCTAACTACACTCTAAAAACTTTACACACCTCTAGTAGTGCCTGTTTGCCTGATTAAGTAGTTAGATCTGGTCCAAGCACTCTATAGATGTGTATTGGCAGATAAATTCAAATTGCATGACTTAATTTTTTAATCATCATCACCAAGTTTTGTGTGTAACTGTGGCATGTGCATTGAGTTTCATTTCGGGTACGGATATTCGATCCTAAAATCAAAGTTAAGGTACGTCAGATCTGCCCAATTTTTGACTTGTGGCGGAGCTTATCGAACAATGCACGGAAGTCATCTGAGGTTACTATAAAATTATGGCACAATCTGCACAAAATTTTGAAATTAGCACAATAAAACCGTAACATAATTTATATAGTAAACGTGTGCTTTATGTCAACAGGATGGAGTGCTATGCTGCAGTTATAATTTCAATTGTGGCGACGACGCTCCCGCGGTGGGCTACGACGGACTGGTCGCCTCTTCGACATCCGTGGCCAGATATAGTTCTAGTGCTAATAGCGATCAAACTGAAAGTAGTGTTACTAATAAACAATTTAGTGTATCTGTACAAGTGGCTAACAATAGTGCTCAGACTATCGGCGTCAGTGACATTGGGAGAAATAATAAGACTGATATGTCGGGGGGTTGAACTTTGCCGGCACGTAGCTGGTCTAACATTCCTAGAGCCACCTGTGCAATAGCGTAGATTCGGCACAAACGTTGCCTGTTCTCTTCTGCCTGTCGCGGCTGCTTGCTAGGCCACCTCTCAAGTGTCTTCCTAGTTTATAACAGTAGCCAGGCTGTTTTGTTATGTCAATGGCAGTTGCATTTTGTCAGCTTCTAAAGAAGTAGGTTTTCACACTGGCGTTTGTATTACCACAATATTATCACTAGCGTACCGCCATCTGTTTTTACACATTTGCAATTGAAGTGTCGAATGAATGTGTTAGAAAGAAGTAGTTAGTGTACTAATTAAGATAAGAAAATACAAAGAGAAGAAAATGCATTCCGGTGTGACGAGAGCGACGACGCGACGAGAAGTTAAAAATCTGCGCGGAAACGTTGGTATGAAATCTGCTTCTCGACGTCTATATCTGTTATGTAATCAAACAAAAGGGTTGAAGAAGGACCCGCAGGTTTGCTGCAAAATGTATGTGTAAAGATCAATTATGTATGTTATATAAAACTCTAGTCAAATTATTAGCTTGCTAAAACATTCGGCAAGCTTAATGTATTTACAGTTATATATATTATATACCTATAAATAATGGAAAAGCATATCTAGCTAAATAAAAAATTATTGCAATATTGAAATTGTGATATTGTTGAATGAGACTAATAATTAATGTAATTTTCCATTCATTGTAAATTAGTTCCTGAGTCTTTTAACGCTGCAAATGCTCAGCAGTTTAAAACAAATAATAGTAATACTATTGTTAACAATGTACTTAGCACAAATTATAAGATTATATAATAGGCTACCGCTGAACAACGAATTGTTTAGCTCTTTTCATAGACACTTTTATTTTGTTCCCAATTATTATTTATTGCACAAATGGCGCAGTAGATACCTACATTCTAACGATATTTTTTTTACCAAAAAAGGTCACTATTGTAAATAAAATGTCGCTATAATATTGTATTAATAGTCTTAAATGTAGAAAACCTAATTGGAAAATTTTTCAAAAACAGAGCACATAATCATAATAGTTATAGTACCTAATTTTACTTTTCAGTATTTTGTTTATATGTTTTTCATCCTAGTCAACTAACAAGCTAGTTTCTCATCCTATGAAAACCGCTTCTTAATGACGACGTTTCATCCTTTGTTCGATTATATCTTATTTGTTACGACTAGAATTTATTACACTGTACAGAACATTGCCATAGTCCTTTGTTGTAAAGATGTGTGCCAATCATTATTACAAATAAATTATAATCAAGGAGTCGTGAATTTCCCCCTCCTATGCTCTCGCACATTCCAAGGTCTCTTCAATATCAATAACTCATTTAACTATAATTTAGGAATTTGCAATTTGTCAAGAGTGCAAATGATGGGAAATGACATTACTGTTTGAGGCGTTAAGGATACAAGGTTTTATGTTGCTCGAACCACTTGTTGCAGTTGATGAAATTCTTAAAATCCTCAGGATAGGAAAGTCGTCGCATTTTTGGGGAAAGAATATCAAGCTGTGCGTAACAAGAAAGCCAATGGTTAAAATGCCAAATAGTGGCTTTTGTGTCCTGTGGCATCATTTTGTAAACCGGTTTCGCTTTCAATTGGGTTCCTTTCGTTGAATAAGCTTATAATTAGAAGCCCATAAGAGACCAACCAATTTCTCACAGCCCCCTCTCACCCAACTCGAAAAGGAGTCACAAAGGAAAGTGTGGTGGTTATTTGTGAAACACCGTTTGCGATAATTGATGATACATGGCAACGTGCAGGGTACACAGGGCTGTAACTGTCGATTAGGGAACTGGCTACTGGGAGTGACAGGAAAGCGGCAGACTCAACCTTTGCGGAATATGATACTGTTCGCTCTGGGGCGTGCAATCGAAGACATGTAGTTCTCGAAGGATGAGAAACGTTAGCATTGAATTCAGACAACACAAATTGAAAAGCGAAATGCTTTGTAACCAAAACAGGAGGACACCGTGGAGAACTCGCAGAAAGCCCATTCTAATGCAATTCAAACTTCTCAAGGTTAAAATCGGAACGATTACATGATTGCAGCAGCTGGCGATGGTGCGAAGCTATTCTTTAAAGAATTGAGCCTTGAGTTTATTTGATAGAACTACGGTTATAGAATCAGAGGGCCTTCACTACAATTGGAATTACAAAAGTGTTGCGCAAAATAATTCCTGCCTTAGTAAGTACCTACCCACATACAATAAATCCCTATTAATCTCTGAGGAATTTAGTAATGAACGGGTTCTGTGATTATCGAGCTGGACGAGGATTGGGAGGTTCGACGGTAATTAATGGTTTGTTTTACTCCCGAGGTTGCAAATCTGATTATGACAGTTGGGATTCTTCAGAAGAAAGTAACTGGAAGTACGACAAAGTGCTGCCATTTTTTAAAAGATTGGAAAACTATAAAATTGATGCAGATAGCGGTTATCATGGTCACGATGGCCCCATGAATGTGGACTATGCAGAACCACTTGATCCAAAAACAAGTACGTTTTTGGATGGCAATCGTGAATTGGGCCAGGAAATAGGCGATTATAACGGTGCAAACCCATTGCGTGCAGGAAGAGTTCAATATAATATCATCCGAGGACAGCGTTGCAGTACCGGACGGGCGTATTTGAGGAAGAAATATCGGCCCAACCTGCATATTCTGCCTCACAGCTACGTAACGAAAATATTAATCGAC